ACCCTCCCCCTGTGCCCGCGGCCCAGGTGCGTGCCCCCCCCTCCCCTCCCCCCTGTGCACACCCTCCCCGTGCCAGCAGCCCAGGTGCGTGCCCCCTCCCCTCCCCTCCCCCCTGTGCACACCCTCCCCCTGTGCCCGCGGCCCAGGTGCGTGCCCCCCCCTCCCCTCCCCCCTGTGCACACCCTCCCCCTGTGCCAGCAGCCCGCTGTGTGGCCCCGCGGCCCAGGTGCACCCGCCGTCCCTGCGTCTGCCCTCCTCCCCTCCCCCCATTCACCCACCCTCCCCCCATGTGCCCGCTCGCCCATCCCCCCACCCCAGTCCATGGGCCTGGAGGGTCTCGGCTCTCTGGTTTCTCCTGGAAGGAAGCCGTGTAACTCCACCCAGGCGGGCATGGCCTCACTGGCTCTCAGGAGGGTCCTCGTGGGTGTAGGTGTGGGTGGGGGAGGGTCCTCAGTGGGTGTGGTGCAGGGTGGGGGCGGGTGCAGGCCGCCCGAGCCCGTCCACGGGGCGCGCTCAGGCAGCAGGCTCTCCCGGTGGCAGGGCTGGGTGCTGGAGATCCTGCAGAAGGCCGCCCGCAATGCCGGGGCCGCCCACGCGCTCCTGCGGGACTACAGCCTCCTGACGTGGGTGCTGCACACGCTGGAGGGCAGGTGAGCGGCGGGCGAGGGAGAGGGGGAGGGCTCTGCGGGCTCCTCCTGTCCCCTCACTAACCCCAGCGCGGCCCCACCCCGGGACCTCGCGGAGCCCACCGCCTCCCAGGGCCCGTCCTGCACAGCGTGGGGCCAGGCTCCCACAGGAGGGGCGAGGGCACTGTCCGAGCTGCTCTGACTCCTGACCAGCCCGAACTGGAGGCGGGGCCGGGGCTGCGGGGAGAGGAGTCTCCTGTGGCCGCAGCGGCCGGGGGCTGCCTCCGCTGGGCCCGGGGGAGGGTGAGGAGGCGCAGTGTGAGGTCGGGGTGTGGCCGGAGCCGTCCTACTCGGACCTGTGCCATGCGGGCTGCAGGGGCTAAGCGGGCGGCCTGCGGGGCTGGGCACCCTGAGCCGCCCGGAGGGACTGCCAGCCTCGTCCTCCGCGGGTTCCGCCCTCGGTGCCGGGACGGGGAGTGACAGCGGTGCTCCTCAGGTTCCTGGAGACGCCGCTGCTGGCCGGCATCATCGACCTGCTGCACGCTCTGTGGGTGACCAACCTGGGGGGCCGGGGGCCGGAGGCTGGCAGCCCGCCAGGCCCGCCTGGAACCCAGGAGCCCCGCAAGCTGCCGGCCCTGCACCTGGTCAATGAGTTCCTATACGTGCTGCTCGCGCTGGCCAGGCACCTGAGGTAGGCCGCCGCCGGCCACCGTCCGGCCACGCCCCTCCCTGCCGGCCACCGCCCGGCCACGCCCCTCCCTGCCAGCCACACCCTCTCCCTGCTGGTCACCGCCCACCCTCCCTGCCGGTCACTGCCCGGCCACGCCCCTCCCTGCAGGTCACCGCCCGGCCACACCCCTTCCCTGCTGGTCACTGCCCGGCCACACCCCCTCCCTGCTGGTCACCGCCTGGCACACCGCCCTCCCTGCTGGTCAGTGCTCCAGCCGGGCTCCGGGCAGAGCGTGCAGATGACGCCAGGAATCCCCTGTCCTCACTGTCCCTCTCTCGAGTCAGCCTCGCAGGCTCCTCATAGACTCCTCGTGGGCCTGGGAACTAACCTGCTGTCCAGGTCCCTGGGCAGGAGCCGGCCCCCTGACCTCCGAGTCCAGCCTCGGGCGTTCCGAAGGAAGAACGTGACCCGTGACCTTGACCTTAGAAAGTGCAGGGTTCCTGACCTGCCTCCGCCGCCCGCTGCCCAGGCTCCTGTCCAGGCCCCCCCTTGGGAGCGGCAGCATTTACCCTCCCCCCTCACTCCCTTCTGCCCAGCCGCAGGGCGCCCTGGCCTCGGGGCAGTGAGCGTGCCCGGGGCCCCTGACCTCGGGCTCTGCCCAGCGGTCTGCCCCTCGGCCGTGGTTCCCGGAGGCGTTCCGGCGGACGAAGCAGCGTGCTCAGGTGTCCTCCCCCCGCAGGCCCGCCCTGGCCTCCGCGCAGCTGACCTGCTTCTTCGGGGCCCTGGACGCGGCTCTGCGGTGCCGGGCGGCCGCGCTGCGGGCCCCCCGGGGCCTGGGCCGCCTCGCCGGGAACCAGGCGGTGCTGTCCACCGCGGACGCGCTGCTCCTGCTGCACAAGTGGAGCCTCGTCGTGCGGGACAGCGAGCTGCAGGGGGCGCTGCGGGCCGCCGCCGAGGAGCTCCGCGCCCGGGACCTGCTGAGTGCGTGCAGCCGCCGGCTCGTCCGCACCCCTCCAACCTCCACCCCCGCCCCCTCCCCGCTCCCCAGCAGCCCTGTCCCCGCTCTGGGCAGCGGGGGAGGCGTACAGACCCAGGTCCTATGGTCGCCTAGAGGGGACACAGGGTTTGGGGCCCCACCGGGGAGCCCCCTGCTACAGCCGCGGCGCCCCCACCTGTCCAGGGCCAGGTGCCCGCTGTGCCCAGGCAGCTTGGCCTCCGAGCTGCCCTGCCCCAGCCCCTCCCCCGCCCCAGCCCCTCCCCTGCCCCAGCCCCTCCCCTGCGCCACCCAGTCTGCAGGCGCAGGCTCACCGTCTTCTCTCTCTGGCAGAGATGCTCAAGGACAGGAACAAGCCCACAGGGCCCACCCGCGCCCGAGGCGCTCGGGGCCGGAGGAGGGGGCCTGGGGAGGCGGAGGAGGCAGCCAGCCCCGCAATGCCGCCTTCCAGCCTGGAGACGTGCAGGGGCCTCCTGCGGTCCATCCTGACCCACTGGGGGCCCGTGTTCCCCGGCCCTGCGCCCGCTCAGGGGCCCTCGGACCCGGCCGCCCCCCACGGCCCCGCGTGCACCGTCGCCGCCCTGGTGGTCAGCTGGGTGCTGCGCACGGCGGCCGAGGGCCCGCTCGGCAGGGCTGAGGCTGTGGGCCTCCTGGGTTGGCTGCGGGCCCACGTGGAGCGGCAGCCGGAGGTCGGGGCCCGGCTCCTCGCGGACGGCGCGGTGAGGGGCGGCCTGTTCCGGCTGTACAGCCGGCTCTGCGCCGAGGGGCCGGCGCCCGAGCTCAGCGCGCTGATGCTGCCGCTGACGGCGGCCCTGAGCCCCGCAGAGACGGCCCTGAGCCCGGCCGTGGAGACCCTCCTGGCTTCCCTGGACGAGGAGGAGGAAGCCACGCGAGGTGATTCTGGGGGCCGTGGGCGGTGGCGCATGGGGGGCGGGCCTTTGCCTGGGGAAGGCCTTAGTGACGCCATCACAGGGGGTGCTCGCCCCCCGACCTCCAGTCCCCCAGGACCGCCCCTCCCTGCAGGCCTTTCCCAGACAGGGTTACATTCCACATCGTGGCCAGGTGCCTGTGTGTGCCCATGAGTGCCTGTGTGTGCACATGTGTGGCGTTGGGCAGCTGCCTGGGAGCGGTTTGCACGTGTGAGTGAGGGAATGGGGCGTGGAAGCCTGGAGGGGGCACGCGGGCCATGGCGCCTGCACGTGGCCCCTCTGCCTGGAGGCCGGGCCCCTTCCCCGGACGCGGGAGCAGGAGGGGGAGCAGGTGGCTGCAGTCGGGGACGGAGCTCTGCCTGTGAGGGGGGCGGGTAGACCTAGAAGAGACTGGCCTGTGGCCGCGTTCCCTGCTTCACCGAATGCAGACGGACGGACGGGTTTGGTTTACTCAGCCCACGTGGCTGCCGGCGTGGCTGGTCCAGCCGGCTCTCGGGCCGTGCGGCGAGGGTGGGTGGCGGGCTGTGCCGCGTGGATCCGCGCCCTGACGGCCCCGTGTCCTCCAGCCTCCGCCGCCTTCCTGCTGTCCCTGCACGTCCAGGACGTCTGGCTGGGGGCCCAGTGGCCAGACTCGCTCCTCGCCCACGTCCACATGGTCCGGGAGGCTGCGGGCGACGCGCCCGGCACCGGCCAGGAGCCCATCATCCGGCTCTGCGAGGACATCGCCGCCCTGGCCCCGGACAGAGCCGGCCCCGCGGGCGCCAGCAGTCCCGGGCGGGCGGGCGGGGCTGTGCAGTGACGGCTCCGGTGGGGGTCGCGCTTCGTCTGCTTATGACAGTGAACGGACAGCAGGGACTGCGGGGGCGGGAGCGGGAGGGGCGTGGCTCCTGAGGGGCCTCAGGGCCGCACGGCAATCCGTGGCCGGCCCTTCTCCCGTTCCTCCCTCAGAGGGGATTCTCGCCGAGCACGCGAGGGTTCCTGTGACGTGAAGCTGCCCGTCCACAATGTGTCCCATCAAATAAAGGCGCGGACGGAGGTGCTTGGGCTGTCTGAGGGCCGGACACGCCCGTGTGACAGGACGTAGGCGAGCTCCTGCCGCAGCTCAGCTCCATTAAACCACGGGCTGCGCAGGCCCTTAGGGTGCAGTCCCCTTGGCCTCGGCTGGGGAAGCAGCCTGTTTTGTAACTGATAATAAATGTCTATTTTTGTTAATTTCTGTGTTTTGTTTAATTGACGTTAAAAGCTGTTTTGGTTCCTCAGAGGCCTGCGGGTTTGAGTCAGTCTGACTTCCAAGGCCCCTCCCTGATGGTGTGCCCGGACGCTGTGGAAAATACGGACGAGGCAGCTTTCCGTGTAGCCTGTCCCTGTAGCCCCGCACCCTGCACCCCGCACGCCAGGGCTCCCGGCTCGGCCTCGTCACCTGACAGCCGTGGCCCCCGCCCGTCCCCCTGGAGGTGGCTGCCGTTTGCCCGTGTGACACCCCACCCGAGAGGCGTTAGCGCAGACGGAGCGTGCTCGGCTGCAGGCCCCTCACCACCAAGCAGCTCATCCTGGAGGCCAGGAGCTGCTCCCTCCAACCCAGCGTGGCCGCCCCTGCAGTCCATCCCGCAGCAGGATCTGTGGGAGGGACACCACCTTCCTCGCCCCTGTCTGCGCCCTGGAGCTCGGGCCCTCGCCTGCCCTCCGCCCCACGGCCCTGGGCGCGGAAAAGTACAGGTCACCCGGGAACTCAGGCCCATGGTGCTGCAGCGGAGACTGGAGGCTGGGAAGTGGCGGTGAGACCAGCGAGTGACTATCTTTATTTCCGTGTGCTCTGTTCGCGCTTCCCGAGGGAGCCCAGGAGTGAGTGCGGCTGGTGCTGCGGGGCCAGCGGGTGCACAGCCCTCGTCAGCGCCTCGGCCGTGGCAGGCTGCACCCCTGCTTCCAGGAGCACGTGTCCGGTCTGAGTCCCTCCGAGTGGCCGTCACTCGCCGGTGCAGAACTGGCTCCAGTGGGAGGCCGGACATCAGCTGATGCCGTGGGGGTCCCCGTCCAGGGCCTGCTCCCACAGGAGAGCTGGGTGGGCCTGCGGGGTGGTGGGGGGCGAGGCGGAGGGCCCGGAGGCACTGCTGCCTGGCTCCCTGGCTGAGCTGGGCGGGGCCCGCTGGGGGGCGCTGTGGAGCAGCGGGTGCCTCCGGATGCAGAAGGGGAGGCTGACGTGGAGGCTCCAGGGACACGCAGGGCGGGGCGGGGCGTGGCTCCTGTGGACAGAGACAGGCAGGCGTCAAGGCTGGAGGACAGCCCCTCCCTGCTCCGCTGGGCTAATTAAGTGAGATACACCTACAGTAGGGGTGTCGAACTCAATCAGAGAAGGGGCCAAAATATAAAATCCAGCCTAAATTGCGGGCCGAATGGTTTACTGAACAGTCATAAACTGTCATTGTGATGGAAACGCAGCGGAGTGCAGTGATGACAGCGCGGTGCGGGCCACATTGCAAGGCCTGGCGGGACGGATTTGGCTCGTGGGCCTTGTGTTTGACACATGTGACCTACAGTGTAAGCCAATGAGCGATAGCATAATCATCCAATTTTGCCACCATCACCACACTCTATTTTTTTTACCTTAATTTTTTTATTGATGTCAGGAAGGGAGAGGGAGAGAAACATCAATGAGAGAGAATCCTGGATCGGCTGCCTCCTGCACGCCCCACACTGGGGAGAGTCCACAACCTGGGCCTGTGCCCTGGCCCAGAACCAAACCCTGACCTGGTTCATAGGGCAGTGCTCATCCACTGAGCAACACCAGCCGGGCACCACAGTCCCTTTCAGGATATTTTTATCCCCAAAGATGATATCATTAGCAACAGCCAGGAAGCTGCCTCTTCCAAAAACTTCCCATCAGAATCCCTGAGCCTCAGGTCCTCGGCTCAGCCACAGGGAGCGGTCAGGCCTCGCTCCTCCCGAGGCAGGGCTGTGCATGGACGTGCAGCTCTTCACGCGGCCCCGAGTCCCCCTCGCTGCCGCCCACGGGCACCCTGCCCGCACCCACCGCCCGCACAGCCCGGGCCCTCAGACACCCGCCCGCACGCACCTGGCCGCGGGAGCCGGGCGGGACATGGAGAGCAGGACGAGGAAGAGGAGCACCACGAAGGCGGCCAGGCTGGCCCAGAAGGCGATCACCACGGAGTCTGCGGGGAGAGGAGCGGGTGTGACCATCGGCACCGCCCTGGAAGGGGGGACCCAGGGGAAAGCAAGGGCGATGTCCAGCCTCTGCCGGCCTCGGGGCGTGAGGGGCGGGCTGTCTGGAGGGGAAGCGGGATGAATCTGCAGCGGATGGAGGCACTCTCAGCTGCTGCTGCTGCTCAGAAGGTGGGTCTCCCACCGGCCGGTGTGGCTCAGGGGTTGAGCATTGACCTGTGAACCCTGAGGTCAGGGTTCAGTTCCCGGTCAGGGCACAGGCCCGGGTTGCAGCCTCGATCCCGTGTGGGGCGTGCAGCCAGTTAATATTTCTCTCTCTCCTCTCCTCTCACTAAAATAAATAAAATCACTGAAATCACTAAAAACATTTTAAAAAAGAAGTTGGTTTCCCTGCTCCCTTTCTCCTTGGGAGGGAGAAGGAAGGGCCCGGCAGCTCCTGTGACGAGCGTCCGGCGGGGCCTCCCTGGCCACCTGCCCTGGGAGGAACCGGAGAGAGAGGGGCCCTCCCTGTGAGCTGGGCGGGCCGCGGGGCCACAGCAGGGAAGAGGCACTGGCTGGGTGTGGCCGGGGCTAAGGGGGACACCCGGGAGGCGCCCTGGACCCGCCTGGGAGCAGCGGCAGGCCGGTGCCCTCTCCACCAGCTCAGGCACCTTGGCCTGTGGCACGGGAGCCACCGCAGGTGGTGGGGTGGCGAGGGCGTCTTTGGTTAAACGGCCTCAGAGGAAGCCCGGCTGGCAGGCCTCAGGGGTTGAACATCGACCTATGAACCAGGAGGTCAGGGTTCAGTTCCCGGTCAGGGCACAGGCCCGGGCTGCGGGCTCCGTCCCCAGTGGGGGCCGTGCAGGAGGCAGCCGACCTATGGTTCTCTCTCATCATTGATGGTTCTCTCCCTCCCTCCCCCTTCCTCTCTGAACCCAGTAAAAACATTTTGAGCACCGAGGTCAGTCCTGTCAGCGCCTCTAAGGAAGCAGCTTCAAACCCTGGCAGCTGGGAAGTCTCCCTCCTCCATCCCCCAAGGGCTCAGTCCTCTGCCGCTGCCCTGGGTCGGTGTCCCTCCACCCCCCCACCAGCAGGCCGTGGGACCACAGCTTTCACAGCCAGCCCCGCGGACGCGTGACACTGAAGCGGCCGGAGCTGTTCCCGTGAAGCCCTCTCACTGCGCCCTGCGAAGGAAGAGGGTTCGCTGCCCCTGGGAGGCCCTCTTCCTCCGGAGGACGTCCTGTCCCCGCAAAGCCCCGCCCGCCCCCGCAGTTCAGCAGGAGGCTCATTTTCCCAGGGAGCCCGCCTGGCAATGGAGGGCCCGCCCAGCCCCAACGTCCCCTCCCTCCTCCACTCCCCTCTCCTCCCTTCCCTCCCTCCCCTCTCCTCCCCCGCCTCCCCTGGCTCCTCCCTCCTTTCTGGGGCCAACTGGACACCAGCTGGACAGGGGAGGGAGGCGGCCACAGCGATTGGCAGGAGAAGGCTCTGGCTGGGGGTCGGGGACGTGGCATGTTGGGGGCTTTCTCGTCCGAACTTGGAGACAGCAGATTCATCCCATGAAGACACTTCCCGTCCACGGAGGCGTCTGGTGAGGGAAACGGCCAAGCCCCCAAACGCACCCCCATTCCAGTCCCAGGTCCTGGCCAATTCGCTCCGGATGTCCCCTTCTCTGGGACCAGCGCGGGGTCACAGCCTGAGGCTCTGGTTCTGAGTTCTGATTCTGATTCTGCCGTTTTCTAGCTACCTGGTCTCAGACCATCTGAATCCGTTTCCGTCTGTTACATGGGATGACAGTGTGTGCTATACAGACTGCCACACAGGTTAAATAAGATCATGTGTGTACAATGCACACACTCAGTTCCTCCTTCACTGGCCGTGCAGCGATCTGTAAACGGAATACACTGTTCTGTGAAGAGGGTCGATGGCAATGATATCCCTCCATCCTTCCAGCTCAGGAGAATATAAGCTGTGCCTTGGCCAGTGTGGCTCAGTGGTTGGGGCATCAGCCTGCACAGCCAAGGGTCGAGGGTTCAATACCTGGGTTGCAGGTTTGCTCCCCACCTCCGGTTGGGGTGGGTGCAGGAGGCAACCAGTCAATGTTTCTCTCCCCACTCCCCACCCCCCGCCCCCTTCTTCCCTTCCACTCTGAAAAGCAATGGAAGAAATATCCTCGTGTGAGGATTAACAACGACAAAAGTAACATGTGAGGAACTGCATTTCCCCAGTAACAGAACCCCTGCTGATTGCTGGGCACAAGGCTGTCTGGAAGACTACAGTTCCCAGCCTCCCTTGCAGCAAGGTGTGGCATGTGACAAGGTGTTGGCCAATGAGGTGTGAGTGGGATTTTCCTGGACAGTTTCTTGCAGTCTTTCTGCAGGGACGACCTGCTCCCTGGTTCCTTCTTACTCTCCTGCCACGTTTTCTGCCCAGAGCACAGCGGTGACGCGGAATCTGCGTGGGGGGTGGGGGGTGGAGTGTGGGGATGGGAGCACGGCGGTGATGCGGAGCCTGGTGTGGGGCACGGGGCCTGGGGCGTGGGGACGAGGGCACGACGGTGACACAGTCTGGTGTGGGGCGTGGGGCACGGGGCGTGGGGGCGTGGGGACGAGGGCACGGCGGTGATGCGGAGCCTGGTGTGGGGCACGGGGCCTGGGGCGTGGGGACGAGGGCACGGCGGTGACACAGTCTGGTGTGGGGCGTGCGGTGTGGGGTGTGGGGTATGGGGGCGAGGGCACGGCGGTGACAGTCTGGTGTGGGGCGTGCGGTGTGGGGTGTGGGGCGTGGGGACGAGGGCACGGCGGTGACAGTCTGGTGTGGGGCGTGGGGCACGGGGTCTGGGGCGTGGGGGCGAGGGCACGGCGGTGACACAGACTGGTGTGGGGCGTGCGGTGTGGGGTGTGGGGTATGGGGTGTGGGGACGAGGGCACGGCGGTGACACAGTCTGGTGTGGGGCGTGCGGTGTGGGGTGTGGGGCGTGGGGACGAGGGCACGGCGGTGACAGTCTGGTGTGGGGTGTGGGGTATGGGGTGTGGGGACGAGGGCACGGCGGTGACACAGTCTGGTGTGGGGTGTGGGGTATGGGGCGTGGGGACGAGGGCACGGCGGTGACAGTCTGGTGTGGGGTGTGCGGTGTGGGGTGTGGGGTGTGGGGGCGAGGGCACGGCGGTGACAGTCTGGTGTGGGGCGTGCGGCGTGGGGCACAGGGTCTGGGGCGTGGGGGCGAGGGCACGGCCCCGAGGGCAGAGGAGGAACCGGGAGGCTGGCTCCTGGGGCTCGGGGGGCCAGCCCCGCACCCGCCCACAGACGGCTCCTGGGGGAGGAAGCGCCTTTTGCTCCACCTGGTGCTGTCCACTGGCCCAGCTTTCTGTGTGGGATCAGTAAAAACCTGGCTTTTTAACTGAAGGCCCTCAAACTTACAAAAGAACACTGACTCTCAGAACAGCCCTCCTCGGCCAGAGGGTGTCCCCGTCCCTAGCACGCATGTCCTGACCAGACACTGACACCGGGCAGCACCAGCTCTGAGAGCGCGTTTATTTCTGACGCCCAGTGTACCGATCGGCTTAATCTCACTCACCGATGGCTTCTCCCCGAGCTTAACTGTTTCCCCAAAGCAACTCCCCTGGCAAGGACACACCTGGCCCGGACCTGTGGCTCAGTGGTCGAGCGTCGACCTGTGAACCAGGCGGTCCCAGTTCGATTGCTGGTCAGGGCACAGGCCCGGGTTGTGGGCTCCATCCCCAGCAGGAGGCAGCCGGTCCACGATTCTCTCTCATCATTGATGTTTCTCCCCCCCCCCCTTCCTCTCTGAGATCAATAACAAATATTTTTTTTAAATAAGGACATGGGACGATTTCCGTTTGGAGCTGGTGGGCAGAGCCACCTCCCTCCCCATGCCTCCGGGAGGGCGGGGCTGGGTCCCCAGCCCGGCCTTCGCTTTGTTTTTCTCGCTCTTGTACTTCCTCCGCCGGATTGCTGACAAACCCCGCGTCGCCCCAGGGGGGGGCTGGCGGGCGCTGGGCCGGGCTGTCACCCACCCGGGAAGCTCGCTCTCTCCGAGTCTGACACAGACACGGGGACCCCGAAGCCCCCACGGCCTCCACCGCGCCCCCCGGGCCCCGGGCCCTCGACCCCATCACAGAACCCGTTCCCGCAGGGGCGCCCAGCCTGGCGTTCCTCCGGCGAGTCCCGGACGTTCCAAGGACAAGGACGGCCCCCGAGCCGCCCCCGCAGGACTCACACTTGTGGGCCCCCAGCTGCCTCTCGTCCACGGGGAGCAGGTCCAGGTAGTCCAGGTAGTACTCGTAGGCGGGCGCCGAGGCGTTGCTGCTGTTGGCCATGGCCATGGCCGTGCCGCTGGCGTCCGGCTGCCAGGCCGCGGGCAGATTGGCCAACCCCTCGGGGAGGCGTCCAAGTGTGTCTGTGGGTCTCGGGCCCAAGGCCGCCCGGCCGGAGCCATTGGCTGGAGGAAGGGGTGGCCGCCTGCCGGACGCTCTGGGCTCCGGCCCCTCCTGACGAGGCTCCAAGGCAAACAGGGGAGGAGGCCGCGGGGGGGAGGAGGGACGCAGACCCGGCTGGGAGAGACGGGCGGGGCGGGGCTAGCCGCTGGAGGGGCCCGCTCAGCCCTCAGGGCACGAACAGGTTAACCCCGCGGAGCTGGGCTGCCCTTGGCCCCTCCGAGGCCGCGCTGGCCGTTGAGCAACCGGCCCACTGGCTCAGGCTCGTCATCCGAGCGGAGACGGCGATGTGGGCCCTGAACTGTGACCCGCCCACGTCCACGCCGCCCGTCCACTAGGCCAGAGCGCCCCCCGCTAATCTGGGCCCAGACCCTGGGCTCCGCGATGGACGAGGTGCTGTCTGGGCCAAGGCCCCGCACGGGGGGTCCAGCTCCTGGGCACGGCCCGCAGGCCACCGCCCGGCTGAGGCGCTGGGCGGGGGAGCATGCGGGGCCCAGGGCTGTCTTCCTCCGAGGCCACGGCCAGGGGCGTCCCCGGGGCTGAGGGGCCTGGCTCGGCTGCCGGGAGCCGGAGTCACACAGCGCTGGGTCCCTCCAGCACCCACTTCCCGTGTGCTCCACGGGTCACCGCACAGGGCGTGGCACGGACGGTGTGGACGGCAGCGGGAACCTGGCCTCTCGGTGGAGCCTGCAGCCACCGGCCCACGAGGCCACACCGCACGCCGTGGTCTGCAGCTCCTGAGGGCCGCCCCCTGGGCATGTCCACAGAAACCACTCCATCCTGCGACTCGGGACAAACACGCTCGCCCACATCCGCACACAGACCCGGAGCTGCGCTGAGACAGGCCTCCGCACGGAGAGCCTCTGCTGCATGTCCCGCCCCGCGGCCATCTCCCCGCAGCCAGCGCGCAGCCCCTCGCGTGTGCACACGGAAGGCCGCTGTGCATGCTCTCAGACACACACACACACACACACACACACACACACACACTGAGTGGGGCCAGGTTGTGTGCGTTCAGAGATCATCATCATCTGGCCACTCAGTGTACATTCAATGGGAAACAAAAACCCCGTCTCTTGCTTTATTGTGATACTCAATAATGTGGTGTCGGTAACCAAGCCTCGACATCTCTGAGGCATACCTGTACTGTGACTGTATTCTCTAAACGTCTTTGTGACGTACATGGAACGCTATGATGTCTCGTATTTGCTTCAAAACACCCCATGGTGCCGAAGCCGGTGTGGCTCAGTGGATAGAGCGTCGGTCTGCGGACTGAAGGGTCCCGGGTTCGATTCCGGTCAAGGGCATGTACATTGGTTGTGGGCACATCCCCGGTAGGGGTTGTGCAAGAGGCAGCTGATCGATGTTTCTCTCTCATCGACGTTTCTAGCTCTCTATCCCTCTCTCCTCCTCTCTGTAAAAAATCAATAAAATATATATATTTTTAAAAATACCCCATGGTGTGTGGGAAAGGTAGAGGTAGAGAAGATTTCTTGATAATTCTTAAAGCTTATTGATGTATTCACGGTGAGAACATTCTGCAAGGCATCTAGCAATAGGAATCACTGGACTTTTAAGAAATGTGCACAAAGCTTCAACTTGGGAACTTCTGTTTATCATGAAATTATCAGACAACGGCAGAAAGCTGTATGTACAAAACATTCACCTTAGCACTGTTTATTTTTAGACATTTACCACCCCCGCATCCTGTAAGAAAAACAAAGTTACTTTAACAAAATGAAACAGGAATCTCAGATGCATGAGAGCACGAGACACAAACAAAACAAAATGGTGGCAGCTGAAGGGTGGAAACGGCTCCAAAGGCCGCTTTCCCACTCAGCGGGCGGCGGGGAGTTACCCTGCCTGCCAATCTCTTAATTCCCGAGTGCGGAATGAGAGTTGTAGCTAGGCCACCTGATCCGGATGTGCACCGAGTGGCCAGATTACGATGATCTCTGAGCACATGATCACCTGGCCACTCAGTGTTTGTCCTGGGCATTGCGGGGAGCCGGCCCTGTGTGCCGCCAGCTCCGCCAGGCTCAGTGACCCAGGGGGCGGTGAGGGATGAAGGACGGAGAAAAGACAGACAGGAGGAGGAAGCTGGGTGGGGTGGGACACTGCCTCTGATGGAGAGACAGCGCCATGGGCTGCAGCCGATGCCATGAGGCAAAGGAAGGGCGTGGCCAAGGAGTTTACCACATTCTGAGTTTCCATCCTACTCAGCTACACGCACCTGAACTCTATCGAGCCCTCAGGCACGTGGGGCCACGTGCTCGGACCACAGGGGCACGCTCACAACCACAGCTGTTGGCTGTCACGGTGCTGGGAGGCTCTGCCCTCCACGCTGGCACCTGCAGGTGGCTGTGCCCTCTCGGCAGACCGAGGCTTGGACCTGTCCAGACGCTGTAACTGTGTCCCACAGAATATATTATACGTATGTATCTATTATATATATGTGTGTGAATATAATAAATATAATTAATATAATTAATATGATATGATATGATATGATATGATTATAATATACGGTCCCTCGGCTGGGCCTGCGCCCCTCGCAATCCGGGTCCCCTGGGGAAATGTGGGACAGCCGGCTTCAGCCTGATCCCCAGCCGGAGCCGGAGGCCCCCCGCCCCCCGCAGCCGCTGGGCGGCCTGACCTCCAGGGGCGCCCGCGGGGCCTGGGTCTCTGCGGGGACCCCAGAGCGGACGGCGCACAGCGCCACCTGGCGGCGGTGCTTGTAAGCGAACTCGGTGAAGCTCCGGGAATCCCGGGGGCATCGCCCGCGTTTCACACAGACACCCGTGCTGTTCCCACGCACATCCCCCCGCAACCCCATCCCCCCCAACCCCCCCAGGTCTGCAGCCGGCCCACCCCGACCCCCACCCCCGGCTCTGCAGCGGCGCCGCCACGCCAAGGGGACGCCTCCGGGCGACCACCGCCACCTCCCTGTGCGGCGGGGGAGGCAGTTCACGGCCATTCGCCCGCGTCTCCGGGGCCGGGCCTCCTCCCAGCAGCGGTGGCGGCTCCGCACATTCCTCTCCCGGTTCCTGTCCTCCTCCCCCGCACGCGGCCGGGCCGCCCCGCCTCCGGGGCAGCGGACTCGCCTTAGATCCCCGGGGAGGCCCCGGGGCGGAGCTGCCGACGGTCCGGGCGGGGCTCTCAGGCGCCGCCCCGCGGAGGCCTGGCCGCCGCGCCGCCCGCGCCCGGCGGGGACGCCATGCACGCGCGGCGCCCGGCCGGCCAGCCGGCAGCGAGCATGCGCACTGGCGGGCTGCTCCCCGCCCCGCCCCGCCAGGCCCCGCCCCCGCCAGGCCCCGCCCCGACGCCCCGCCCCGCCAGGCCCCGCCCCGCCAGGCCCCGCCCCGCCAGGCCCCGCCCCGCCAGGCCCCGCCCCGCCAGGCCCCGCCCCGCCAGGCCCCGCCCCGCCAGGCCCCGCCCCGCCAGGCCCCGCCCCGCCAGGCCCCGCCCCTCCAGGCCCCGCCCCGCCAGGCCCCGCCCCGCCAGGCCCCGCCCCGCCAGGCCCGCCCCACCAGGCCCCGCCCCGCCAGGCCCCGCCCCGCCGCCCCGCCCCGCGCACGCGCACCGGCGACGGCGTTTCCCGTGGTGCCCGCGGCCGCGGTTCGCAGCGATGGCGGGCTTTCCGCGCCGGAGCGCTGCTGGGGCTGCGCCGCCCCCGGCTGCGCGTGCGGCGCGCGGGGCGCGCGGGCCGAGCCGGCGCTGCCGAGCCGGCGGCTGTCGGGGGGCTCGCCCGGCCGCCCGCCGCGGGAGCCGTGGACCAGCGCGTGGGGCTCGCTGGGCGGGCCCGCGCCGGCGGCGGAGCGGAGCGCGGAGGCGGCGGCCGCGCGCGACGAGGACCGGCCGCTCGTGTTCCTGTGCGCCGGCTGCCGGCGGCCGCTGGGCGACTCGCTGAGCTGGGTGGCCGGGCCCGAGGCCAGCTGCATCCTGCTGCGCAGTCAGTGGCGGCGCCCCCGGGGGCGGCGGGGGCGGCGGGGCCCGGGGCCCGGGGCCGGCAGAGCGGGACCCAGGAGGGTGCCGCCCGCCCCGGGCGCTCGCAGGGACAGCCGGTCGCCGCGCATCGGTCGCGGTGGAATCGGCATCGCTGTGAGCGCCCGTTAAGAACAACAACAAACAAAAAGCCGGATTCTCAGCATCTCGGTGCAGCCCGAGTCACTCCCGGAAGCCCGCGCCGTCCTGGCGCAGGACCGGCCGGCGGGGCCATGGGGCCATGGAGCCCCGCTGCCCTCCCGCCGCCGCCGCGGGCCCGGGCCTCCGGTCCGGCCTCAGAGCGGACGGCTCCCCGCGCCGCCCGGCGCCGGCATCCCGGGGCATCGGGCAGCTGGAAGGCGCCCCTGGCCGGTGGTCTCGTGGTGTTAGTTCAGGGAGTGGGTCTGGTTGGTGTAAAACGTTGTTCTGGGGCCTGTGGTTTGGAGTTGAGGTTTCCTCCCAGGAGTAACGGTCTGGGGAGGAGGCGGACTCCTGGGCCCGGTCCCCGCAGGACCGGCAGTCACTCAGGGATTGCGAGTCCGCCCGTGGCTCAGGGGCTGGGCATCCACCTGGAACCGGGAGGTAGCGGTTCGATGCCCAGTCAGGGCACAGGCCCGGGCTGCAGCTAGATCCCCAGTAGGGGGCGTGCAGGAGCCCATCAGGGATTCTTTCTCAACGTTTCTGTTACTCTCTTCCTCCCTGAGATCAGTAAAAATGTATTTTTTAAAAGGGACAGTAATTGCTGCGTCCCTTTTCGTTGTCAGACATAAGCCTGAGAGCAGGCATTTCCCACGGTCATTTATCGAGATCAACCCTTTGATATGAAATCACCTAGTGCAGAGGGAGGAGAGGACTTGCCTCCTGGCCCCACACTGATGCAGCCCCGAGCCTGTGCTCATTCAGACACCCTGGCAGCCCTGCACGCATCAGCACGTTAAAACAGACTGCTGAAAACACGCCGGAGGTTTACTACGCATGTCTTAAGCATGTAGTCTTGGCCCACACACATGTTCTGAATATTCCTCCGTATTGATGTAGACAGAAATACTTTGTGGTGTACCCTTGCTGACAGGCAGTGCAGCGTGGCGATGGCCCCTCGGCTGTTGGGGTTTGGGTCCTGGCCTGCCTCTCACTAGCTTAGCTGTGTCTCCTTGGGCAGCTTACCCCCTGCCTCAGTTCTCTCTGTAAAAGGGGGATTTTACAATATGATGTTACACTTGGATTCACTTTCATTCCCTCCTGCCCCGGTGTGATCAAGATGAATTATTTTTACTTTGTTAGGATTCATATCGTGTACATACTGTTCTGTAGCTGTGGCATGATCATTTAGCTTTAAAAAAAAACGCGGATGGGAGGGAGGGAGGGAGAGCGTGGACTTGTTCTTTGCTCATTGAGGCACTCACCGGTGGATTCTCCTCCAGGCGCCCTGCTGGGTGGACCCACAGCCTGTGGTGCCGGACGATGCTCTGACCGGCTGAGCTGAGCCAGGGCGGCGTTGAGCTTTATGTAGCGTTTGTGTGAGCTGGCTTCTCAGGTCCGGACTCACGCCCATAAGCCGCGTGTGAGCGGCCTCGTTCCTGAGTGCGGGTGGGGCACAGGGCACCCTGGCTCCCTCCTGCGGACCGCTCCGGGCTGGCTGCTGTCCTCTCTGTGGTCTCCGTGCGCGATGGCGGCCTGGCCGCGGGCAAGTCGGGGTCGCGCTCA